CTGTATTTATAGTTTAGATAATCGGAGTGATGGAAAATATTTTGTGAGGTTGCTCTTCGGCTCATAAGTTTCTTTATCTAAATTCTTTATCTCTGTAGGTAATTGTATTKTCCATACGGTTTAATTTACAACAAAAATATTTGTATAAAATCGAATAGTTTCCAACATGGTGCTCAAGATAGGCAAATGTGTTGCACTATTCTGTAGAAAACGAAATTTGAAGTAGGTAATGTGAATAACAATATAATAATATAAAGAGAAAAAACGCGGATTCTGTTGCGTTGGAAAGACAAATATCCAGCGATACAGAATACAGATAATCATTAAAATGACAAAAAGGACTTTGCTGCATTAAAACGGCTCTTTGCCAAATGTCAAGTTTGTGTGTCATGTGCGTTGGCATCTATCCCATCTTGAACTTACTAGTCGCTCTTAAATTCACTCGAATAATAAACCAATCGCACTCTTACGCAAATCTGACATTTATATATTATATAGGTCAAAAAAATTATGCATATTGTGTAAACCAAGTGAAAATTCGTCGTTTTCTCGGAAGGTAAAACTGCAGTGCAAACATTTATAGGGATTACGCTAAGATGGAAAATACATTTCTGAATAGATTTCCTTAGGGTTTAGCGTCAAAATAGCAACTTTTGCTGTACTGAATTGATTACAATTCGGGAAATATATTATATATACCCGTATTTTCGATTGGTTAAAACGCATGGCAGAAGTGAAAAATGAATAATAATTAATAAAATAAATAAAAATAAAAACCGCCTTGGTCTTGGGGGCCCGTGAGAAGTCTAACAGAATTCGTTCTAAATACATCCTTTGTAGTTCAGTAACGTACTTAAATATTTTTTGCGAAAATGTGGAAAAAATAAAAGCTTTTCTCTTTACGTAATATTTTCGTGCCGATTAAATTTATTATCCTTTTTTTCTGTCCACTCTAAACCTTATACCCGATAACGCTTTAAAAAAAATCTATATCCTTTGTTTTAATTTTTAATCATGGTTTGGAAACCATTAAATTTTTTTATTATTATCATACGATCACCGATAAAATCGGGACGAATTATGAAGATATCAATAAATAATAACGAACAAAAAAGGCTTCCCACAGAATAGTATTTTGGCGGCCAAAATATATGTTTGATTGCTTTACTACCGATGTCCGTTGTACAAGTTTATGCTAAAAACAATAAATCACTCGTATATACAATAAAACAAATATATATATATCAATAAGTCATAAACGTGTTCGGGTAAATATAAAATAAAATGGTATTGCAAAACTGAATTGGAAAAAAGCGTTAATGTTATGTACTGGTTTTTGCCGTCATTTTTTTTTTTTTGTTTAATTTAATTTACGAATAAAATTGTTTGGACGTGTTTTCGTGCTCACCCTGCCCAAAAGCTCTTACGATGACGATTGAAAATCCCTTAAACTAAACACACATCATGTGTGTATAGCATAATTCATGTGGGTTTTTCCCTCCGTAACTACCCGTGCAAACAAACACACACACAAACCACTTATTGGGACTAGAAAAATTGATGGTACTCTCACTACTCCGCGCAAATCATTTTAAATGTGTGTGGGTTGCAGCACGATAAATTATTTACGAAGTCTGAGAACAGATAATTCCGGTCCGATAACTCACTGTTTAGCTGTAGGTGATTATTTTTGAGTCAGGAATAATTCACTATACATGCTCTACCTCTAGCACAGTTGCTCAGTTCACTCTTCTATATGCAGCCGTACCACTCTAACAGTAGGTAGTGCAATTTTGGACTCAAAACTAAACATGTCATACCACACTAGCCATCCTAACATCTAGGTATATCTTTGTTGATGTGTTACAATTATTAGAGTTCAATAATCTGAGACATGCATAAAATGCAGAAATTAAGAATTAAAATAAAAGATAATGTGTGAAAATGAAGTGTTCATCAGATAACATATGACAAAATCTTAAACAAAAATAAATTGAGCAATTAAATTTCGTTAAACCATTAAGTATTAAATTGCTTCCAAAACAATAATAGCATCGTCAAAGTAACATATTTTTTGGGATATGACTCGGTTAAACTTATACGAAGTGGTAATTGTTATTTGACCGCAGCTAGTACTTGATTTAGGGTTCGGGCCACAACTCAACACATCCGATCATCTTATAGTAAACGAATTTAGTTGTAATTTGTGTCAAGTGTCGTGAATCGTGATTGACGATCATGTTGTTGCCTTGACATCTTGTGGTTTATACCCACAGTTATCCACTTGGGCATGCCCGTGAAGAGAGAAAAAACACCTTATAACTAAGTATAACAGTGTAACATTACCGCGGTATATTTATAGAGGAAACTTTTGATTCGCGTGCGCCGAAAGTTTTCGAATACTACTTCGTGCGCCGCGAACAGGTGCGGAACACGAGTTGGGGATGGATAGGAGGGAGGAGATAATGAAAAACGCGTAGCGGAGCGTGGGTGAAAAAAATAAAGTAATAACAATAAGAAAGATATCGTCTGCGTATAAAAATGTATTTAATCTTCTTTTCTTTGCGTCGCTCCCCTCACAAATCTCGTCTCGCCCGCGGATTGTTTCTCGCCGTCGGATCGTAATAATTTATATAAAGGGTCCCCTCACACACAGCACACCCACCCACTGCACCGTCGAAGGTTACACGACGATTGCCACGTATGTGCGCGTGTGAGCATAATGGCACGAGTGGCAATAATAGACGTGCTTTTTCGGTGATATTATAACCATGACGATAGATGTGAGTGTGCCGTGATGCCCGACCGTCTGATTTAATTGACCGTTCTTGACGAGGACTCGTATTATAGGTAAAAGATGTCTCACCGTACATGTTCACAGCCTTTTTTTTCTTCAACAATGCAGTCGTTCAAAACCTGATTTTTAATTTTTAAGTATTGGTACATTAAAATAATGATATTTTTATTTTTCTGAGATTTTCGTTTATCAATTAAGTAGCAGCGTCCTGTAAAGGTATACAGTCTTCTGGTTTTCAAAGCAGAACTCCACTTCTCCTGCACTCAATTCAATTGTAAATTATAAAAAAATTATAATTAATATGAAAATGATCCAAGTATGATAAATAATAGATCCAATATTATTGAATATAGTTTATTTTTTGCAAAAACAATTTTTAAGAAATATTATCTTTAGGTATTGTTATTTTTACAACTGAAAAACAACTCGAAAGAATTTTCAATTAGATAATATGTGCATCAAAATTTTCACGAAAAATATCGACTAAATAAATTATAGTAAAAACGAGGGGGTGAAAGAGGGTTCTTATTTGGAAAGCAGTCAGAAAAATCTAAATTTTAAAATAAAATAAAAACAGTGTAAATCGTGCTTAGTGAACCATCCTATAAACAAACGGTATACTTGTTAACAGAAAACGTGTACTTACATACTGTAGAAAAACGTGTATAAGTACACTAAAGGATTTCGATGGTGAGAAATCGCCACAGCGCAGCAACTGTACTTTGAAAATCCGTTTTCCAACTGTACTCATATAACAACTATATTGTAGGAAACAGTTTATTTTCTAGTTTAAAAGTAATTATTTTTAAATACATATTAATTATTCCTTAAACTGATGAATATTTTACTCAGAAATCGATTTAAAAATAATAATAATAATTTTTTAAGGTAAAAATTAATGGAAACATTTATTACATTATTTGCTTGTATTTTTTTTTATGTATTCATCATTATTAGGGTTAGGATGTTTATGACCTTTAAAAACACTAAAAAAATGCATGCAAATATGCACAATAAATGTCAAAATATGCCCTTAAAATAAATTAAACATGTAATTTTAAATTTTATTTCTAATCCAAAATGTATTTTAAATTAATTTACAACTTTTTTATAACTTTGAACTTAAATAAAAATATATAAAAATATGATATTTTGAAATTAAAAACATAGATACTTACAGTAAATTAATATTTAATTAAGTAAATAATAAAGATAAGTTAATTATATAATGCGGGTTTCATATTTTCTCATTTTCGTTAAATGTGAAACCGACTGTGCCTACCTATGGGTTTTTATTGAGGTTTATATTGTATTTAAGTTATTGTTCGATGAAATATGCATTTATTTACAATTTTTTTCAAAATATTTAATCATAAAAATCTCTAAGTATACAAAATAAAATTGAATGTATCTGCTTCTATGTCGCACAAAACGAATTTATAACTTGGTCTGCAATGTGCACGACTAAAAGAAAAAATATGCAAAAGTCATAAACATCTTAACCCTGATCATTATTTTTCATTTAAGTTTTTATCTGTACCGTATTTCAAATTTTTTTTTACCCAATAAATAAACCAATGCCTTTTATTTGTATTCGAAATCACAGTCATGTAATCTTACTGATTTTATTATTTTCCGGAATTGTTTGATTTGTCCACGCTTAGTAAAAAAAAAAAAACACAAAATAATTCTTGGTAAGAAATATAATTTTATCGCAAAAATATTAAAAATCTATAATTAGTGTCAATTTATTGAACTAGTCGTTGTTTCAGATGAAATAAATGCTTTATTTTGTAGTATTATGTATCTATTAAGAGAAAATAAGAATCATAATTTTTCCTATTATGTCCTAGATTAGGTTAGGTTAGGTCTAGGTCTAAGTTCTACATTTTCAATAATTATAATAACATGTATTATAGCAGGAGAATTATAACTTTTAAGTACCTGCAGGTACCTAATAATAAAACAGCTAAGAGGCGATATTAAAATGTTCAGTTATTTTATATACCTATCTATTATGAAATAATTAACTTGAGTGCTGTAATTACTCATGTAATGTTTGTATCTATTGCCAAAAATTAAACTTATAAATCAAATATGTATAAACATAAATTTTTTTCCACATTAATTTGTCTCTGGAGACTCGTGCAGAGTATCAAAATTCGATAAATATGCAATTTCCTAAGGCTCTTTAATTTTTCAGATGAGGCCGAAGGACTTGATGAACTCGTTGAGACTGTCCATGGCTGTAAACAGCCAATCGGTCACGAGCAGCGGGAATTCCGGCGGAGGAGGTGGTTCGCCAAAAACCGGCACCGGAAACTCGACCTCCGCTTCTTCGGGCATGCTGCAGGCCATCCCGTCGGACGCGGTCAAGCGGCTGGCATTCCTGTTTCTGTCCACGTGTGCGCTACTTGCGTTTCGGCTGAAAATCATGGGCTCCAAACTGCCCGTGTTTACCAGGTATATACTAGCTATACTACATTGTATATCATAAAATCGCTTATACTAAACATAGTGTAAAAAGGTACCTTCAAATTGTTATTAACTGCGTTCAATTATTACAGTCAGAACAACTATGGGGAAAATTCAATGAAAACAAAAATTTTTTTTTTTTGATATTTTAAGATATTATTTAAAATTTTTAGGTGACGTTATTGGGCCGAGCTCACCATAAATACCCATCTTTTATAGACGTGTAAAAAATAGGCTAAATCATACTATACATGATTGACGCACTATACCTAATACCTATACCTACTGGGTGACTCACTTATATTTGTTATGCTTATAATTTTTTTAAGTTTGTACTTTTAAAATTATTACATACAGTGTTGAGAAGTATAATATTCTAAAAATATTATAAATTGTTGTTTTAGACGACTAAAAACATGTAAATATATTTTTTCAAGATCGTCTATACATTTTGAAATAAGTGAATTTTCGGTGAAAAAAGAATAACTCAGTAGGTATATACCATAATATTATATCATTTATTATTATCTATATCATTTAATGAAACATGCGCTTACATTTATTTCATGGTCGTATAACATTATTAAACTGTTGTGTGCAGTGACATCACCATCAGACACCACATATAAATGTATTATAATATAATATTATTAATTATTATATTATATAATATTAATGCAAACGCATTCTTAGTTCTTCATATTTTTTTTTTCTGTTTTTAATTTGCCACGCCAATAATGTTGTCACTCTAAGTCTGTGACTATGGACCCTGCGTCTAAATTCACCCATGTCTCTAATCAAATTTATAATACAGCTCGGCATCTACATAATTTCATAATACCTGTCGGTGGAGATCCATAAGTATTTGAGCTGGAGTTTTAATTTTAAACTACAGAGAGACAACCTATTTCCAAAATTCAGCATCCGTTACGAGAAAAATATTCCGTATTCCCCGCGAGTCGTTTAAGTACAATCAACTACTCGTACATATAATTATGCTGTGCCTATGGCGAGATTTTATGCGTTATAAATCGATTTTCGAACTGATKTATGAAATATTAAAAAAATACGTATATAATATTATATTATATTGTATATATATATATATATATATATATGTGTGTGTGTGTGTGTGTGTGCAAGTTATAATGAAAGTCAAAATAAAACCGACGGGATATGAGAGTGTGCGTTTTATTGGCATTGACGTACTACTTCCGTACATAGAAAAGTATACAAAAAAACATTTCGAAATTCGGGTAGTATCTCCAAAAATTCACGGAGGGCCAAATACATTGGCATGATATATTTATTTTTTTATAGCTTTATATTGAATCAAAATAATGCATCCCGTAATTTTTTATCGGCTATAAACATCTGAAAAAAGTTTGAGATGAAAAATATAATACTAAATAGGGTATTTGTCATCTCACCCTGATGAGGCAGATTTATTCAATAAATAAACTTACCACTTCTATTTGAAAACAACAACAAAAAATACTGTTCGTTCACGTATTGATAACATTATAATAATATATACTAATATTTTCCATTCAATAGACCCGAATCAAATTTTTTTTAAATAATACAACTTATTTTCTATTATATTGATACAACTAATACTAGATATATMATTTCTATTTATATGTTTTAACTATATGATTTATTATGTTTTTTTTCCAAATCGTATATATTCATATATGTTACATATAAGATGATTAATTTAACGAAAAATACTTRTTTTTTATAAAAATATTTAAGCATTTAAAAATATATTTTTTTTAATGCTTTCAGAATGATTGGATTTTTTTTAACTATATTTTTAAATATTTTGTATACTTATAATTTTTTCTAAGTTTTAATTTTTTGTATGTCAACAGTTTTAAACTACCTTCTAAAAACCAAGAAAAACTTTTGTTTTTCGTTAATACTTAATGRAATTAAAAGTAATTCGTGATAAAAGAATAACCTGATAAACAGTAAAACCTCCTTACTCGGAAAATTACTACAGTCCTGTATACCCTACATCTCGTTTATCTAATACTTAGACTCCCTTTAACGGAAACTTCTTTATAATAGTAAAATAAATTAGTACCGAGCGATTCTGTACTTAGGAGGTTTTACTGTGTCTACATGTCTTATTGTGAATAAACCTTTTACACCATTGTGACTAAACCTTTTACACCATTGTGRCTTKATGATCATATGGTAATCCGCAMCTACATCACCGTATACTTAATAAAGTAAAATTATTATATTTTTAAGGTTCGACAATCCAGCCAGCGTGTCGGATTGGCCAGCAAGACAACTTACCTATAACTATCTGGTGAGCGTAAACGCTTGGTTACTGATATTCCCATGTGACCTATGCTGCGACTGGACCATGGGTACCATACCACTGGTTGAATCCACCTCAGATCCCAGAAACCTGGCGACTTTGGCCACATACTCCGTGATTATCGCGCTCGTGTACACGGCGTTCACCACGTCCAATCGAACAAAACGCATTGTTGTCATCATGGTAAATACATCACTTACTGTTAAGTCATTTTTAGTAGTACCTATATATCTATTATGGACAATTTTCCGAGACTTTCTGCCCAACAATAATACTTTATTACCTAACCTTTAACCAGTAGATTTCGAACCGTTTGCTTTTACATAATCTAAGTATTTGTTGCGGTAATCTTCGTCCAACGTGACTATATAGCTTCCGGATCGGTGACCAACAAGGTTTTTAGTAACGAATTCCCGTTCCACATGCTCATATGTTCTTGACATACAATTTTTATATTTTATAATATTAACTAAATATTTACTAACATAATACTGAAATTATAAATTCTGATCAGCTATGAGTTTAAAAAGTACGATATAATAATACCTATAATGAGTAAAATCCTCAAAATAAATATACACCATATAATGGTATTTTTATTTTTATTTCTAAATTTGCAAATTTTAATTTTAAACTAATTATAAATCATTAATTATGCTTTGAAAAAATGTAAAATTAATATGCCTCATAAGCTTTTAATATTTTTTGTAGTGAAGTGAAAATAAATTCAAATTTAAGTTGTTATCTAGAAATTAATCGAATTGCCTAAACATATACATCCAAACCCGACAACCTTCTAAGTCTTGCTGCCTTGTATATTGTGCGTTTCTATAYATGTAATGTTATGTTAATATTTCATACGTGCAAAAAAAAAAATAAAATAAAAAATATTTTTAAAAAAACGTAAAAACGAATCAAACAAATTGATGGTCAAAAAATCTTTATTCACAAGTGCTTACTACAATACATTGTCTATTTCAGAGTTTGGGATTGACTGTTTTTCCGTTTCTACCCGCATCGAACATGTTCTTTCCTGTAGGATTTGTCGTAGCGGAACGCGTCTTATACATGCCGTCAATGGGATTCTGTATGCTCGTCGCCTATGGTTTAGGACTTATAATCGATAAATGGTAAGAGATTTTGATGAGTTTGTTGCGACCGACCAGATCATTAACRTTTTGTTCTGCAGCAAGTCCCGGTTGGTGCTAACAGCCGTTTCCGTCATTATGTTCACCCACGTGGTGAAAACCTACACAAGAAATTCGGACTGGTCATCCGAATACGCAATTTTTACTTCTGGGTTGAAAGTAAATAAGCTAAATGCCAAACTCTACAACAACGTTGGACACGCTTTAGAAGCTGAGAATCGATTCCAAGAAGCTCTTGCGTACTTTCACAAAGCCGTCAGGTAAGTTTCTAATGTTTATAGTACCTACCTACCAATTGAATTTGCCTCGGAGTGCCACGACATTATTTTAAAAATATAGCCATTTTGTTTGAATTAATTAATTTTTTTTTTTAATAAAAAATAATTTAAATTACCAAAATTCGTGACGACAATCTTATAGATAAATCATGTGTGAGGCAATTCATGTGTGTTTTTTCAACCTTTTCTTTTCACAGCCGTTTGCTATCACACTATTCCATTATGATAAAATAAAAAAAATTCTCATAAATTAGGTTTTGAGTTCGTGTTGAAAAAATGCATGCTAATAATTATTTCCGGAAAGTTCTAGGATTATGACTAAAATTCTCAATATCATAATATATGTGATTAATATTAATATAGTATCGATAATTAACGGCRTCATATTTTCTATACCTGTAATCATGTTATGATTATAATTATAATTATTTTAATTGTTTTCGTTCAATTATTTTATGGGTGATCAGTGATTTTTTAAAAAAATGCCTTAAGGCGTGAAGGGTATAAATAAAAAATGAGAATCACAATCAAGTTATTTTTATCGTTAAAACGTGATTTATAATTATTGTTTTTCTTCTTTATTTCAGCGTGCAGCACGATGATATCGGAGCTCACATAAATGTTGGCCGAACGTATAACCATCTAAAAATGTACAAGGAAGCAGAAGACGCTTACTTAGAAGTAAGTAACTGCAAAAAGTTCAACATTTAAAATTATTTACGTGACTAATATTTGCAATTACGTATTTACAGGCCAAATCATTGCTTCCTAAAGCAAAACCGGGTGAATCGTACCAAGCCCGTATAGCTCCCAATCATCTAAACGTACTACTGAACTTGGCTAATCTGATTGCTAAAAACCAGACGCGTCTAGAAGAGGCGGACATGCTGTATCGACAGGCTATCAGCATGAGGTCCGATTACACGCAAGCATACATAAACCGTGGTGACGTTTTGCTCAAGCTCAACCGAACTAAAGAGGCGCAAGAAGTGTACGAACGAGCTTTATTCTACGACACCGACAACCCGGATATCTATTACAATGTGATTATAGCAGACCCATGCATACGAAAATGTTTACAAAAACATCGTTTCTTACCTTATTCMTTTTCACTTTTCAGCTGGGCGTTGTACTTTTGGAACAGGGTAAACATTCACAGGCCTTGGCTTACTTAGATAAAGCTTTGGAATTCGATCCGGATCACGAACAGGCGTTGCTGAACTCAGCCATACTGCTCCAAGAGTTGGGGCAGGCAAACTTGAGAAAACTTGCTGAGAAGAGACTTCTCAGGCTTCTGTCGAACGTACGCATTATAGATACTAACAACTGGTAGTACGATTGTAATCGTTTTATTTTCATATGATTTTAGGGTCAAAAAAACGARCGGGTGTTTTTCAACTTAGGAATGYTGGCTATGGACGAAGGAGACGTACCGGCGGCTGAACATTGGTTCCGTCAGGCAATTCTCATTAAAGAGGATTTCAGGGCCGCTCTGTTCAACCTGGCCTTACTGTTGGCTGACGACCACAGGCCTCTGCAAGCAGCCCCATTCCTCAACCAGCTGGTCAGGTTCCATCCAGACCATGTCAAGGCTCTGATATTACTAGGAGACATCTACATCAACAACATCAAAGATCTAGATGCTGCTGAAAACGTGAGTTTGTTCACCACTGAATAAACCACTCCGACCCTGACTTTTTTAATCCTTGTGTTGTCGTATTTCCAGTGTTACCWGCGGATACTGCAACTGGATCCAGACAACACGCAAGGGATGCACAATCTATGCGTGGTGTACGTAGAACGTGGCCTTTTGAAGGAGGCTGAAATTTGCTTACAAAAAGCCCATCTGATGGCCCCACATGAAGATTACATTATCAAGCATTTGAAAATTGTGCAAAACCGCTTGCTGGCAAAACAGACTTCTGATCAGCTCAATGTAAGTAGTAGATTTACATTTTAATACAATAAATAAGCTCACTCGTTTTCAACCAATTTTCGTTTTACTTTTATATTTATAGGAGAATCGTCCGGATTCTAAGGAAATCCGAAAAACTGAAAAAGACACAACTCGTCCAGACACCAATCTTAAGTCGAATACCAAACCGTCTACACTATCTCTGTCATGAATG